TGTGGGGGTCCTCGCCTGTCCAGAGCGGCATACCTGCCTCGTCGTACCTGCTTCATCCCCAGCTGTCGGTCATCCCTTGCTGGCAAAGGACGGGTATGGGGGATCCACGTCCTGTGCAAAGCCACCTTCTGTACCACGCTCTGCTCCTGAGGTGTAGCTGTGGCCATGGCCGTGGGATGAGGAGCGCTGCCCTGGTGGGGTCCAGGCTGGGGAGCTGATGTCCCTTCTGCCTTCTCCCCTCCTCTGTTGCTCTGAAGTCTGCAGGCTCCTTTGAGATGAGGTGCAGGGGCTTTCGCCTTGCACGCTGGACCTAAATGGAGGTCTTTTATTTTCTCATTTCTTTCAGCATCCTCTGTTCAGGGAATGTTCTTTCATGCCATGATCCAAGTGCAGATGACACTGCACAGTAAAGATGCTGCGGGTCCCTATGGCAGCTGCATTTAGTGCCGCTTCTCCTTTTCTTTGGAAGGAGAAAATACCGGAACTTTCCCTCTCCTAAGACTGCAGTGTCTTGCTCTTTAACATCACGTGCACATGGGATGCACTTCAGTGAACTTGTGTGTTGAACCTCAGGTCCTTCCTGTAGGACTTCCTGAAAAGAGGCCAGCCATCGCCAGCACCGGACACAGGGAGATGGCCGTGCTCAGGAATATCCTGAGGAGGCAGGATAATCCAAACACAGCTTGCTCGTTTAGACGTGACCTGTTGAGTCCTTGCTTATTCTGATGGAGGCTGTTGTGCATCAAGGGGCTCTCAGAAAACCAGTAACTTCTAGCCTTGCCTTACTGAGGTTCAGGGGGAACTGCATCTTATTTTTCATGTTCTAGAGCTATATTTATTTCTGAGGATCATATAAACAGGTATATGTAGATGAATGTATATATACATCTCCTGAGAGCTATGGAAGTTGCTTTTCTGGATCAAACAGATAATCAGTCTAGGCTGTCCTTTCACTGGCCAATTCAGGTGGTCCAGAGGAAGTTCTGAGAAACTGCAATGGGCTGGAGTGGAAGAATCCTCTCTTTGCCAGGGCGTCCTCCTGCACAGAGACTGATGTGAGACGTGAGGCTTAAAATCTTAGGATCCTTTGTAAGATGGTATAAAATCTCTCTGAAGCTACCATGCTGGGCAAACAATGTTGTTCTCGTTCTCCAGAGCATCAGTCTTCTCTTGGTGTCTCTGCTGTGGCAAGCTAAGCTGGGTAGTTTAAACAGTCTGATTGGAAAGTCTGCTTGGCTGTTTTGTCACCATCAAATAGGAAAATTTCTCCCCCCGCTCCAATTTGATGCATCTAATAAATCGAAGCCCTACCATTTATTGATCTGAAGTTTATACTGCAAAGTAGGACTTCGTGTGGGGCTGTCTTTAGCAGCACACAGACAGTGCTTGGGGGTCTGCTGTTACTCGTGACCTTACCAGGCAGCTTCAGAGAATAAACTAATGGGATGAGGACAATTGGCGGTAACATAAATCATTTGGGCACAGCTCCATGCACAATGTTCTTCATGGTCGAGAGCTTTGCAGATATTGATCCTTGTGTAGAATAAACTAGGTTTGGTTTCCATAATATAGCCCACATGTTATTCACTGTCTAAATCTTTTTGATTCGATAAGGTTGCTCTGGGGACCGAATCCTCCCACCTCTCCTCGCCTGCTTGCAGGAGCTCATCTTGGATTTAAAGACAGTGACAAGAAACTTCAGCTGTAGCAAATGTGTCATCTTCCACTGAGTGGCGCAGTGTCTTCCCTGTTCCTGCCAGATGCCTTTGCTTGTTGTCCATATAAAGTCTGAGGTGGAAATAATTGGTTTACTTTGAATGTCTGAATCTTGAATGATCCATTTTGTTGTCACATCAAAAGAGCAGAATTGCAACAATTGGTAAGGCTTTCTGTCCTTTGCCACTGTGTATCCTTTGAGGTATGGATAGCTCAGTAGCTTGAAAGGGAGATGCTGCTGATGTTCTGATTACCCCTCTTAATATTTTTCTAGGTGTTCTCTTTCCTCCATCCTGCATCCTAAAGCTTTAATTTCTTGGCTGATGCCGAGAAGGATTTCCCTATGCATGAACCTCATTGCACGTTTTGCTAAGCAAACCTGACCTCTGCAGCTGTGCAAGGAGCACGGGGATGGATTCACTAAGAATTCCTTGCGTGCTTCTGCTGTGGCAAGGAGCACAGTGTGCTCTTCTCAGGCCATATGTTCAAAAGTTTTGCTAGCCCTAAGCTTTTAAAAACAGTCAGCCAGACATTAAAAAAAAAAAAAAAAAAGTGTCATAGGATAACTTAAGTGGTTTTTCTTTTTTGAAAATGATGTTCTTAATTTGCTTTCTCATGCTGATTTCTGACTGTCTTGGAGATTTCTGCATGTCTGTATAAGGTGCTAGGAATGCTTGAATCTCAGTATTTCACTTGACTGCAGGACCTAGGGGCCTCAAGTGGAATAAAAAATATTGTGAGCTTTGGGAGAAAATTATGCCAAACCTCAGGTTAATAGTGGTTGTGGATTGTGTGTAGGTTGTGGTAAAGTGAACTTTCAAATGAAGTCTGGAGCCATGGTGGGCTTCGGGTTTTCGTTTGGGTTGGGGTAACATGATTGGGAAGCCCTGTGGACTTTTTAATCAAGTGTTTCTCTCTTAACTGTGTGTCACAGAGCACTAAAGCAGGAACAAATACTATCTTGTGCTCTTAGAGACTGTGACTTTAATTGTTGGTTTGTTTTGGAGGAAATGGGGTATGGTAAAATGCTCTGGAAGGGTACAGTGCTCTCATCTAGTTGGCATAACTGGAGGAAAATCTGTCAAGTGATAAGATTGAGAGCAAAGAGGCTTGTAACATCCCTGCTTTCTATCTAGTGAAGTGTGTGATTGCAGTTAATTTAGCCGAGATGTCATCTGAAGGAGGAGCTGTTGTCCCTGCTTCTGTAGTTTTAATCTCTGTGCTGATACAAGACATCGTATCACTTTTCTGCACCAGCTAATGGTCCCATCTATGTGGAAGGGACTATGTGGTTCAGAAGGATGTTTGAGGATTACATACACCTGAAAGCCCCGCAGGAAAGGTTTGTGTTGTTCTGAGGATGGCAGGAGACCTCTAAAAATGTGCCTGGGAGCCCTGAATCTCCTGACATATGCTGTGGTAGTCCAGCACTGTCTGGTCATGGGGCTGGCCCGAGCTTGTGGTGCAGGTAAGATCCTGGCAGATGCAAAGATGTCAGTGTTCACAGCAGATGATGTATCATGGGCTGAGGCAACCTGCATTTCTAAAGAGGAGATGAGAGTGGTTTAACCTCAGTCGGCAACTGAGCACCACACAGCTGCTCGCTCACTCCCCACCCCCCCATGGTGGGATGGGGGAGAGAATTGGAAGAGCACAAGTGAGAAAAACTCGTGGGTTGAGATAAAAACAGTTTAATAATTGAAATATAATAATAATAATAATGTAATAATAATAATACACAAAGCAAGTGATGCACAGTACAATTGCTCACCACCTGTCGACCGATGCCCAGCCAGTCCCCGAGCAGCGGCCCCCCCCCCCCCCCCAAA